ACCAAAACCCAAACTATTTGTTTAGATCAAACCCACCATTGTTCATATTCTCTAACCCTGAACCCGAACCAAAACCCAAACCCAAACCTGAACCCAAACCCAAATCCAAGCTCAAACCTAAACCCAAACCCAAACTCGAACTCAAACCCGAACCTAAAACCAAACCCAAACCCAAACCCGAACTCGAACCCAAACCCAAACTCAAAACCTAACCCGAATCCAGACCCGAACCCAATCCAATCCAAACATGAATCTAAATCTGAATACGAACCCGAACCAAAATCCAAACTATTCAAAACCTTTATTTTATTTCTACAGTTTCATGGATAGTTTGTCTTATGAGTTGAAATATCTAGATATTTCTCATTCCCATTTTTTATTTTTTTTATTTTTATTTTAATATTCGAATTAATATATTCTTTATTTGTTTTGTAGGAGAAAACCTAACAGATCAGAAAGAAGAACATTCTGAAAGAGGTAAATTATCCATTCTTTTTTTGTATATTCTTTATATATATTTAAAAAATTTAATTTTGTATACTAACCCTGGTTTTTTTTTTTTTTTTGCAAGGTGATGTAAATGATATATTGTCAGAAGCAATTTATATCAATAAATCATCTAAGAGGAAGGCTAAATGTTCAGTTGAGTTCGGGAGAAGAACTTCTCCTATTTGGGAGCATTACACTTTCATCAAATCTGTCGATGATTCTGTTTATGCTGAGTGTAAGTATTGCAAAAATAAAAATTATAAAGTTGATTCTTATATTGGTACATCTAACCCTAGAAGACATACTGAGAAATGCCAATCTTATAAGGAATATCTTACTAAAAATCCTGCTTTGGTAAGTTCTTTTGATCAAAAATAATAATGTGAATTGTTTGTTGAGGCTATTCTATGTCATGGTTATGCATATAGTATTGTTGAGCATGAAAAACTTAGGGACTTGCATCGTTACCTTAATTCCTCTGTTAAGGATATATCTAGGTATATTGTTACTAAGTATTGCATGTTGGAGCATGAAAAGCATAAAAAAATTGCTACTTGATTCAATGCATACTATTTCAAGTCGTGTTTGTATTACATGTGATGGTTGGTCTACCTGCACTTCACGTTCTTATTTTGCTCTTACTACTCATTATGTTGATAATAACTGGAAACTTCAGTCTAAAATACTTAATTTTCATCGTTTTCCTCCTTCTCATGATGGTGAGTCAATCTTTAAGTTTGTTAAAAAGATGTTATGTGAGTGGGGTCTTGAAAAAAAGCATTTACCATTACACTTGATAACGCTTCTGCAAATGATAAAATGACCAAGAGACTGAAAGATGATTTGAATGTCATTTCTCCTCTTCCCTGCAATGGTAAGTACTTCCATATAAGGTGTGTTGTCAACATTTTGAACTTGATAGTTCAAAAAGGTTTTAAGGTAATTGATTATTCTATTATTAAACTGCGTGAGATTGTTAAGTTTATTGATTTTTCTGATTCTCGACTTTGTGCATTTGAATTAGCTGTTAAAGACTGTGATTCTTCTTTCTCTGGTATGTTAGTATTGAATGTTCCTACTCGATGGAATTCTACTTAATTGATGGTTCATAGGGCACTTGAGGCTAGATTAGCAATTAACTTGTTTGTTAATAGGGAAAATGAGTTGGATTTCATTACTGATCATGAGTGGGAAATTGTTCAAATAATTTGTGATTTTCTTGAGTCTTTTTATGAAATTATTACTCTGTTCTCTGGTTCTAATTATCCCACTTCTAACTTGTATTTGGCTAACGTTGTTGCAATTGAAAAAATTATTGTGTGATACTCATAATGATCCATGTGAAGGTATTTCTGCAATGGCAGGACCCATGCTTGAACTATATGAGAAATATTGGTCTGATCACTCAATGATTCTGTATTTTGTTGTTTTATTTGATCCTCGATATAAATTACAACTTCTGAAATAGTTGTATAATGTTCTTTATGTTGAGGATGAAGTTCAACGGAGGGTAAGTGTCATTTATAATGAGTTTCTTGAGTTATATGTATTTTATTCAAAAAAATGCACCTTGTGGTTATTTCTCTTATGTCCAAAGTAACACATCCTTAGGCAAAAGTGACTCAAGTTCCAATCGGCCTCGAACATTTAGAAAATCAGATATATTTCAGGTTAGTTATTACAATTTTGAGTTGAATTTTATCTTATTTATTTCTTCTTTTCATTTACTAATTTTTGTCTTTTATTTTTCAGACTTTTGATGCCAATTAAGTTGCTTCAAGTAGTGGACGATCTGATGTTGATTCTTACATCAGTTTGCCTCTTGTCCCTCAGACTGGAAAAACTAACTTTGACATTTTGGAGTATTGGAAAAATCAAAGTATTTCACATCCGATACTTTCTCGCATGGCAAGAGATATATTGGATATTCCAATTACTTTAGTTGCATCTGAATCGTCATTTAGAATGGGGGTCGAATTTTGAACAAATTAAGAGCTAAACTCTTACCTAAAAATGTTGAGATATTTGTAACAACCCGTAATTGGTTGTATGGTTTTGAGTCGGAGGATAAGGATGAAGAATACCTTACTGTGGTTAATGAGTCTTCTATGTAAAGGTAAGCCAAATTATTTTTTAATGTTAATGTCATTAATATTTTAAATTGTTTATTAATTATTTTAATTTTCCTTTTATATTTTTAGGGTGTCTAATGGTCAATGAAACCATTGGAATTGGAGATTATGTCTTGTTTCTTCTCTTCAATGGTAACTTAATATTTTATATTTATTATGTTTATTTAATAAAAGTTTCAAATAGTTCATTAATAATTTTTTTTTGTAAGGTTCCTTACATGAAGAAATATTTGGTGCTTGATTCTGTTTTATATTGTTTGCTTCTGTTTGATATTGCTTGCTTCTACTTGATATTTGTAAGGGTTTGGTAAAGTCAGAAATGTTTGGCACTGTTGGTCATCGAATTCCCCCTTGTCTTTACCACTGATTGTATGCTTTCTTAATGCAGGATGCTTGCTGAATTGATGCGATGATGCTTGCTGAATTGATACAGTGATGCTTGTCGGTTGTTGTTATCTATTACTCACTGATGTCTTGTAAATTATTGTTGTTGGTATGACTTAAATCAATTTTTGTACCTTGTAAATTCTTATCTAAATAGTTACTCGTGTTAAATTATGTTGGTGCATTTTGGTTTTTAAAACTAGAAAGTTGCTCATAATTAAACATGTTGGCAGCATTTATGTATAAAGGCTTGATGATGATATTTCTGGTAGTAAAGTCAGACTTTTAGCCTTGTAAAACCTTAGCTATAAGACCTGAGAGCATTTATTTCAACATAAATTTATTTTATTTAGTTGATTTTATTGTAATATTAGTATATTCAAGTGTGATAAAATTAACTTATTCATTTATAAATTTTTTGTTTTAGTATTTGTTATGTTATTCAACTAATATATATTTATTTTAAAATTTTAAGTTAAGTTATACTTAAATTATTAATCAATTTTCACATTAAAAGTAAATTAATTTATTAATATTTTAACTCAATTTATATAGTCTAATAAAAATCATGTTCAATAAGACAATAACTAAATTTAATTGAATGATTATAAATAAAATTTATAATATAAGAATTATAAAGAATATAAAGAATTGGAATTAATATACAAATTATAATTAATATAAAAACTAAATTTCAAAAAATAATCATATTAATTTAAATATCATAAGTTTATTATAAATTTAAAATAACATAATTATATTAATTGTAATTTATTACTTATAAGTCAGGTAAATATCATATTAGTTCAACAACATGTCGGGTCATCTATAGTTGAGTCAATTACAGGTCAGGTTCATAACAGGTCAGGTAGAAAACAGGTCGGGTAATACCAGTTATTTACCAGGTCAACCTCGGGTTCGAGTTCATATCAGTCAGATGCAGTTTGGGTTCGAGTATCATATATTTCGGTTCAATTTGGATTCAGGTCGTTCTCAAGTCGGGTGCAGGTCGGATTCAGATCCACAATTTTCAAGTCTAACTTGGATTCATGTCAACATAGTTCCGACTCGAGTCGATTTTAGTCAATTTTACAGGTTGTGTCAACTTTTTATCCAACATTTTTTTATGTATTTTTCTTCTAAAATTTAAATAAAATAACAAAATCTTATTTGAACTTGAAAAAACTCCGACTTTGGCGGCGTTTATATCGGCGATTCCGTTTACCACATCCGAAAGAAAAGGGAAAAAACAAAAGAAGAAACCTCGGATTTAGACCGAGCCAGTTGCCGTTTGCACCACATGTTAGTTCCGCCTCATTAATATTTACTCAATTCCTCTCTCTTCAAACCTCTGTTAGATAATTGCTTTTTTCAACGTTTTTGGGTTCTTTTGTATACATTCATGAAACTGTAATGTAGATTCCCATTGGATGTATGTGGAAGTTCTTCAATTCTATAGTTATGTGATCAACTAATGCCAAAATTAGGCCCCAAACTTTTACCAAAGCCCCGTCTATAGATGGAAACAGTTAGTTAATACACTATTAACCCTCCAAAATATGGGTCACTTTATCCTAAAATTAACGTTGAGTGCCAAAAATGCTAAAAAAGGAAAGAATAAGGGCCAAATATATTATTCTGTAAATGTTAAGGGCTCTTTTTCCCTAAATGAAATGTTGGGGCTAAAATGCTCAAAAAAGAAAAAAGAATAGGAGTCAAAATGACCATTTTGATAACATTGGGGGCTAAATCTGGTATTATGCCAATCGAAAATATGGGTGCAATGGATCAATGTTGTGTTGAATTTCAGGCGATGATTGATAGGGATGCAATACAGTGGAGGTGATTTTTTTTGACAATTTTGTGGTATTAGATTTGTGGAGATTCTTGTGACTTATATGTTGATTTATTTAATCTGTTTCTTTACTTTATTCCTTGATTTCAAAGATTGCCGATGTTTTGGATTCTAGCACTTACCAATTCAGCATTATTCCAACCAGAGGCACCATGAATTTGATTTGTTAAGGTTGACATAGTGTTCTTTAGAAAATGTTAGGAAAGAAAGCAGCTTCTTTTTTAGTTTTAATCTTTTTCTAACATTTTGTCAATGTTTACCTGCCTTAAATTTTGTATTTAGATGCTGGTTTATTTGAAATGCCTGAGAGTTAATGCCGGTGATCTTTGTCTTCATGTATGAGTATATGTTGATTCTTGAAAAATATTGCAGAACAAATTTAAGGTTTGGTATTGCTTTTCATGTTTTCAGTTGAGCTTGAAAAGCCAAGCTTTTGTGATCTTAAAGTGGTGAACATCACAGAACACCATGTGGCGTTTAAGGTACACGCAGTTTCTGTTACCATTGCAAATGTATCTGAATACTTGTGTGTGTTCTTGTTCATTTTGGGATTTTAATCATGTTAGGTTAAAACGACTTCGCCTAAGAAGTACTTTGTGCGACCAAATACCGGTGTATACAGCCTTTGGATTCATCGTCATTAAGGTATTATTACTAATCAGTTCTGTCCTAAAACCATCTCAACGATTAAAAGTCTACAATCTGCTTCATCCATTGCTTTTCATGGATACTTCATCCAGATTCTATATTTATGATACTGATTTTCGTTAATCTGCTTGAATGTCAGTCACCCTCCAAGCTCAACGGGAATACCCTCCAGATATGCAATGCAAAGACAAATTTCTGTTACAGAGTACTGTAGTGCCTCCAAATACTGATGTGGATGACCTCCCGGCAGATACCGTAAGAATACCGACATTGAGAATAATGTTTTTTGTTTACCACATTTATGATATTTGGATTGTCAACCTTGTCTTTGCATTCAGTTTAATAAGGACAGCAGTAGGGAGATACAGGAGTGCAAGCTTAAAGTTTTTTATGTAAATCCTTCAGAAGATGAAGGATTTAAGAGCTACACAGAACAAGGCGCTGATTCGAACTATGTGAGTCTAGTCATTGATCTGCTTATTTATTTTTTTGTTTTGTTTTAGGAATATATCGTGGTCTACGCACAATTTGAGGTTTTCCGTAAAGGTTCGATTGAATTGATGTGACAGTTGGAAGAGGCACAGAAATCAGTACTGACATAGGCAACTCAAAGCTCTCATTCTAACCTCTGTTTTAAATGCGTTTGTAATTTCAATTATGTTCAAAGCCTGGTTTTGTTGATCCGGAATTCGTTGTTTGAAATAAGTAGGCTCTTGGCACTGTTCTGGTTTACATGAGCTAATAATTTGAGTTCCTTGTAGATAGGGTGAGTATTTGGTACAGTAAGTCAAAAAATTTTGAGTTAGTCGAGTGGACGAGTCTTATTTTATAACTTAAACTTTATCTGAAATTTTTTCACATCAAGTTGAGTCTAGTCGAGTTGTTCGAGTTTTTGTGGTGAAGGACCAACTTGAAAAATGAAAACCCAGAATTTGATTTTTATGTCTTCCATTTTACACTTCCTTTCTGCATTCATGAACCAGACTGTGCAGCACCTGAAGGATGAAAGAGATACGGCATTTCGGCAAACACTGCAGCTGCAACAGGAACTGGTATGTTTTTACTTCAGATTTCCCAATCAAACCAGGAAAACTTTTTCATCCACGTAAAAACCTTCGACTCAACAGTTTAAGCCGATCCCATAAGAGATGCCAGAAGTGACCCCTTTGTGATATTGTTCTTGTTTATATTCTGAAGTACACCATTACAGCTTACTGCTGCCGTGATCAATAAGTAAACACCCCTACTTTTCTGAAACAGGATTTTCTGAAGAGACGACGACAACGAAGAAATGACTCTGGCTTCTCCTTAATGTTTGCGTTTGTTGTGGGACTGATCGGGATACTGTTTGGGTTTCTGTTGAATCTTTCATTGTCATCACCGTTAGCACCATCATCCATAGATTAATCTACACATTACCAGCAGCAGCATCACCATCTGTAGATTCACCTACAGATGAAATATAATGCTCTTTTATATGTTAACCAGTACTTTTGTCTACTTCATGTCTAATGCTGCATGTTCGATGGAGAGTGCAAATTTCCTTTAATTTTGTGAGGTTTTCTTTAAATTTACCGTCTTATACTTTGTGCCTTTTTTTGGTAATGTATTGTCATTCCTTTCATAAGTTGGTATGTCGTCAATAATAGTTAATTTCTTGTCTTGAAATGAAATTCCTATTATTTTAAAAATATACAGATTTTTAAAGGGATATTTTTGGGTTAAATTTCTTATTCCAATGATCTTCTAAAAATTATTTTAGTTTATTTATAATACATTTGGCTTAATTATAAAATAAATAGTTAAGCTTCAAAATGGTTATTACATTAATTTTAATTTATATTTAAATTTTATATTATTAAATTATTTGCATGTTTTACAATCTAATGATTTTTGTATTATTTTTTTAATCCCTATAAAGATTTAATTTTTTTTATCTAATCGTATGATATTTTTAAAATGCTAGTATATTAAAATAAGATTATTCATTATTGTGATTATTCTATTTGAATAAATATTTTTAAGAATAACACACAGTATTAAAATTTAATTTTATGAGTTAGAAAATAATCAATAAAAATGCTGATACTATAAATAAACAGTATTTTATATTGAATCTCTAAAAATATAAAATATGGACAATATATTTTAGAATTAAATGAAATAATATTTTGAAGATCAAATTTTCCATCTTATAACGAAATTATGTATATTAAAAATAATGTTATGAGAAATTTAAATGAAATTAAAATAGCGTATTTGGGAATTTTTTATTTATAAATTTTTTTATAAAAATTCATTATTTAAAATTTTAAAAACTTCAATAAAAAGCGAAACATCTTTTAAAAAAAATCCTTAACCAGACACCCATAGTTTGAACTCAGTCCCTTTCGGTTTGAACTCTCTAAATATCTATTTCCAAGTAAATTCTAAACACAAAGATAAATTATCTGTAATAATTTATATATTATTTTAATTTATTTAATTATTTCTATTTTTTATTTAGAAGAATAAAAATAATTAATAATGAAGTATTATAAAATGAAATTCTAATTAAACACAAAATTTCATATGAAACACTCTAATATTACTCACTCATAGATATGAATAAAGTCCATGAGTATTAGTATCACCATGAGTAACCAATAATAAATTAAGGTTCGAAGTTCAAATAATTCATGATGGTATCGACACTTATAATGAGTATTGGTATTATCCTATTATTATTGATATTCACCCCGAGTATTAGTACCTATTTAGTCTTGAAGTAGAATAAAAATCGTATGATGTCGATTCCCCGCATAAGTACTTATAACGCCTTAAATTCAGTAAGCAACTTCTGAAAATTTTACGGTTATTTTATTCGATCATCAGAGTAATCCAAAAAAATTTAATAATTTAATTCAAAATCACATATTAAAACATTTGTATAAAATGCATAGCTCTTTTAATTCATAAAATAATAAAACAATAAATACAACTCGATCAATAATTAAGACGCTGTTACATGCCAACACAATTATTCATTTAATGTATTCAAAAAATTTATTCATTTAACGTACTACTAACTAAAAGTATTCATTTGATATATTCTGATAAATCCACCAAGATTCATTTGATGAGGTCATTGTTCCATCACAATCCATAAAATCTATAACATGTGCATAAAAACAATTCGAATGCTAGTTAACCAAGTTTAGTGGTACACATCTACTCTACTATATTTCATGAGTCATAAATATAAGCATGTAAATTAGATATAAGCATAAAAACATTGAGCATAATATAAATCCTCCTTAATTAATCATCAAGGCTTAAACGTATTTCCTCTAACCCAGAGACATAATATGACATATCATCCTTATTTATGGATATCCTAGTTATTAACATTCGTTTATGCTCTCTCAGCAGTGGTATCAGTACCTATTAATCTATGGTTCTATTTATTATGACTCATAATTGTTTATAACCAGTAAGTTATAACATTAATATAATCATCTATGATACTTGGTCTCACTTAGTCTTAAATACTAAGATTAATGATACATGGCATCACTCAACATCGAGTATCATAAATAGTGTATATATTAGCCTTAGGTATCACACACATCAAAGTATTATACATATCTATTCACATAATGTCAAATAAATATAATACATGCATTTGGTATCATAAACGTTAAGTATCAATGGCATTGATACCTAACATCATTAAGCGTCAGGTAGCAAAGGGTGGTTCCTAATATCCCTAAGCATCTAGCCATAAATCAAGGATATCAGATAGTCTCTCGCCACTAAACCTACACAATTATATTATCAAGTATCGTATTGTTTTTCAGATCTCACTAAAATCGCATAATATATATCATATGTCAGCCACATAAATAAATAACTTATCGTCTCTAAGATCACCTCAATGATTACCCTCAAAGCCAATCATGGAGATTCATAGCCATTTATCCCTTTGTGTATTTAAGACTTATTTCATTTTATTCATTTAGCTCTATAGGGGTATTTTCATAATTTTACATTTACAAGGTGTTTTAATAATTGTATGAGGTTATTTATCATATTTAAGCCTATCCAGACATTACCAATCTTTTAACTTCTTCTAGATTTTTATAAGACAACTAGATTTAATTCAATTTTAAGGTATCAATTCTTAGTTCACAATTATACAAAAATTAATAATATATATAATATGTAAGTATATAAATTATATCTCCAAAAATTATATATATTTAAAAAAAACACACACACACATATATATATATTTTTTAAAATATGTTTTAAAAACTATATTATATGTTTTCAAAACATTTTCAAAACCACATACTATATGTTTTCAAAACTATTTTAAAAAATGTTTTCGAAATTATATATTATATATGTTTTCAAAAATGTTTTCAAAACTATATATTATATACGTTTTCAAAAATGTTTTCAAAACTATATATTATATACGTTTTTAAAAATGTTTCCAAAACTATATATTATATACGTTTTCAAAAATGTTTTAAAACTATATATTATATATATTTAAAAAAATGTTTTCAAAATTATATTATATTATCATTATATATATATTAAACAAAACCCCATACGAAAATGAGTGACTACAATTACCAAAGGAAATAATCTTTTACAGAATTGCATTCCCATGTTTAGTTCAGGAAAAATATTTGTACCCGAGAATAATCTTTTTCCAATAATAGCATTTTTTTGTTAAAATGGAGTGAATGTCACTACCTCCAAATTCTTAGGCATTAGATAATTCCCACCACTTTGGACATAATACCCCCTTAGACTAATGAATTCTTTTTATAATGATCATTCTCGATTCTTATTTTTTGTACTTCACTCAAAATTATAAACATAATAATAATATACAAATAATTTAATTTAGTAAAATATTAATAAATTTGAGTATTTAAAATTATTTTCTATATTTAACTTAAATATATTAATTATTTATAATTTTATGAGGTGAAAAATATTTTTATTGTAAAAATGTAATTATTTAAATAATATCTAACTTCAAGTTATTAGAAATAGATATTATACATTGAAAAATAATATCTTTATCCACTCAAAATTATAATATTATTATTTTATATTATATTTATAAAAATAATATGATACTTATAAAATTATTTAAAATATAAGTATAATATACTAATTATATATTAAAAGTTTCCTCAGAAGTTAATATAACGATTAAAATATTTTTATGAATTTTCATTCAAATATTTATAATTTCTATGAATTTGGTAAATATGCATTCTAAGTAATCTTATATTCTTCAAACCAAACATTATAATTTTACATTACTACTAAAAAACCAAACAAAGTAATGCAACATTCCCAAGTAATGTTACATTCCTAAAGTAATGTTACATTCCAATAATGTTATTCCCAAATGTAATCTACAACCCTGATTTAGGAGATATGTTCAAATGGTGTTGAAGTTATGTGTTCATGAAGTTAATTTTGTACTAAGGATCCATTTGTTTCACGTAAAACGTTTTTCAGAAATATTTTCCTCATTTTCCAATGTTTGGTTAGAAAAATTGGTTGGTCAACGTAAAACATTTTCCTGGTCAACAAAATTTCCTTTGTATTTTCTGAAAAATGACTTACGGTCTGATTTTCCGTAAGTCATTTTCCGAACTTTCCACTTCAAAGAATAAATACTCAAATAATTTTATTTTATGAATTTAATATTAATAAAATATTTTAATATCATTTTAATCAAAATATTAATTATTAAAATATTTAAAATATATTTATTAATATTTCTAATAATATATATATTTTTATTATAATAAAATAATCAATTATATTATAATAATATAAGATATTATATTTATATTTTAATAATATAAATAATTATTAATAAAATTTATATTATTAATTTTCATAGAATTAATATTATTAAATTATTAAAAATGAATAATATTATTATATATTAATATTAATATAATATCTAATAATATTTTAATAAAGATATTTAAGATATACTAATAATATTTTTAAAATATAATATAACACTATTACTTTAATAAATAATTAATATAATTTATAATATTTTTATTTCAATAAAATATACAAATATTTTTATTTTTATTAATAAAATTATTAAAATAATATTTTAATAATAAAATATTTTAATATTTTAAAATAATAATATTAAGTTTTATGATAATAATATTTATTGTATTTAATATTTGTAATAAATAATTTTTAAAAATTCATCAACTAGTGATAAAAGGATTTAAACATCTTCCAAATATCGTAAAACGTTTTCATAAATGTTTTTTTTTTTTGAAAATGTAATTCATTTTACGAAAAAACATTTTCCAAAAAACTTTAGTGAAACAAACGACCTTAATTTGTCGCGGTCGTCTTTCGGTTGAGCCCAGAATTGGGCTTCGACTTGAATAATGGGTTAGAGTCGCCACCGATCACTTTAAAAACATTTAGGTGGTTCTGACATATATTACCTGACTTGCGTTTTACAAAAAATATGTCGGTACCAATTAATTTTTTCGGTTGTCTTAATTGA